ATTGCAAACAGATCACCAGCACTCCGTCACGGAGTCTCGTGCAATCGGGTTGCAGGCAGCCTGCAATACATATACAGGTATTATCAGCCTCGTCCTGACTTCAATCACTGCTCCGTGTCGACCGCACCAGCGACCTGAAGTGCTGCCCGCTTCAACTACGCTCCTGATAATGTACGAGCAATGAGGCCGCCCCGCTTGATGCCCCGTATCGAATATTGCAGTGCTACCACGATAAGCAGGCGACTCACAGAACCTTATCACTCAAGTCCTAATCCTGAGCTTGTGTGCCCATTCATTATCAGAATTCACAGCGGCCACATCAAACAAAACTAGGAGAACGTCGTGTCAAACCCAGCGACCGGTAACGCCCAAGTCACTTGAGAATAGTAGTCGTCGACACCAAGTCTCAATTATGACGAGCCACGAGCAGCAGCAACATGGGGACGAGCCCCACCAGGTTGGCGTGGATGAGCTGCACGAGGAGCTGGACACCACACCTGTCCACGCTGCGGCCCGCGCTGGCCGAGTTGAAGATTTGCGCGAAATTTTGCTGGTCGATGCCACTCAGGCCGTGGCACTGGACAAGTACGGACTAACGCCACTCCACTGGGCTTGTGACCGCGGAGAGGCAGCGGCAACGCGTCTACTACTACAACACGGTGCGGATGTTGATGCCGTGGAGAAGCGCATGTTCAAGCGGCGGCCACTGCACCTTGCAGTTCTGGCGAGCTCCGAGGCGACGGTGCGCGAGCTGCTGGCGCACCACGCCGATATTCTGGCCGAAGACTACCGCGGCTGGGCGCCGATCCACGGAGCAGCCTACAGCGGAGATGTGGACTCGCTGACGGCATTGTTGAACGCAGGTGCGAGCGTCACCACGCAGCTGACCAAGCGGCGCGAGACGGCACTGCACGTTGCCGCCTGCCGAGGTCGCATGGAGGCTGCTCGGCTTCTGCTGAAGCGCAGTTCTGACGGCGCTGGTGATGAGAGTCTGCTGGCCATGGAGGACGACGAGGGCTCCACGGCAGCACAGGTGGCGGCTCGCAACGGATTCGAGGACATTGCGTATCTGTTAGGTGGCCAGCTGCAATGAGTTTGCTGGAGGTGAACAGAGCGACGTTGAAGCGAACCGTTCCCACTGGCATGGCCGTGCTTCAGCAAGTGTGTTAATAAGCTAAGAGTGAAATCGACGCAGATGGGCATCATATCATCGTTGAGTCAGCGACGCCGACGCCGACAGAGCAAGCAGGGCTTGCGATGATCAATGCAATTTGCAGCTCAACGGCAACGCGCAAGAGCTCTGTGAACCAAAGCAACACGCAGCACCAGCTGAGTGGTTGAGTGGTTGATTGTTCTGCGCTTCACACGTGAATAGGCGTATCCAGTGGACAGGCGAAGCGGAATCTGCTGTTGCCCAGCGAAACTTGCGCAGTCTGCGGATCCGTGTACACTGTATCCTGGTTGGTTCGACCTGGTTGAATGCTCGAGTGGTGGTGAAAGGTTACATGCAGCGCGTCACCGGTTGGAGAACACTAAACACGGCAAATAAAAACATGTGCTTGCTGCAGACGAACAGCAACTTGCTTCTGATCGTTGTGCTGCACCGTGTGCTGCCGATCGAGAACAACCCCTCCGCACCAATCACGCTGTGGATTCTACAGCCAGTGGAGTCTCCACCGGAGATTCCTGGCCAACAATTGACAACACGAACTCCACCAAATTGGAGGCGAATCTGCCGTGGTGCAGCAGAGCGTTGCGCGCCCATCAGCGCTGTCTCAGTGCTGTTTAACGGCAGGCGCGTTTAGACTAAACTTTAGAGCCGTCTGCTGTTTGACGGGCCGTCATTGGAGCAAGGACACCGCTGGAATGGATCGACAACTAATATCTGCTTTGGAAATTGTTCGAAGCTCGTGCCCCCCGCCTCGGAGCTCTGTAGGTAGTTAAGGTCGCGATTACTTCAAATGACTGACTTAAATAGTCGAGTCAACCGTCGACGTCGACCTGTAGACGCTGATGTTGCCGCTGTGGCCTTGCTTTCTGTCGTGGCCCGACTCTGGCGGGACACCGGAACTTCAACATGCGTTTCGGAAGATCGGACGATTTAGGCGCCCGTGTGCGACGATTTACGGCCACGAATTTACAAATTGCCTAAATCGGGGCTCGGACGACGCGCTCGTCGCAGGCTGCTTGAACTTGCCGCACGGCGAGAAACGATAAGCCCGTGGCAAGAAAAAGCCTCGACCTCCCCCGCCGAGTTTAGTTTAGCAAACGCTAGCGGTGTCACTGCCGCGGCGAAGCCGAAACAGTGGGTGGGTCGCTCAGCGCTTCCAGCAGCGCAGTCCAGTTTCCGAGACCTCATAATCGAGGGGGCTGCAAGTTGGAGTCGAGGCAAGCGCGTGTTTCTCGCAGCTTGAAGCAGGACAGCAAAGATTTGCCGTTTGGGAATTAGTTATGGGAGGTCGCTTGTATAGGCGTCGTGTGGGATAAATTCACAATGAATTCCACTTGATCGAGTGTATCGAGTTCTGGGGACGGCCGTTTCAGTTCTGCTGGTTCAACTTGGTGGTTGAATTGCGCGCGCGGTTCGGGGAGCGCCGCGATTGGCCCTTCTCTCCTCGTCGGCCTTTCTTCTCCCGCGCTTGCTCTTGATTTCTGGATAAAGCGCCCAAAACTCGTTCATTTTCATTTTTCTTCTCTGCCTCGAGAATTGGCAGGAACGAAATAAGCTAAAAGCAGGCGCAAGTACATGCCATGAAACGATCCCGCGCCTGCGACGACCTCGTGGCGCTGGCCGCCGAGGCCTCCACACAGAATAGCAACAGCGGAGGCACACTACGGGGCACTGTGGACGACTGGACGCCTTTCGTGGAGGGTCCAGTTCACCGGTTTAAGCGCTCACGGGCCGCCGTGGACAGTCCCAGCAGCAGCGGTGACGAGGCGGACGAACAGGAGCGGCAGGACCGACACTCTCTGCAGTTCATGTTGGAGAACGACCGTCTGTCTCTCAGCTCGGAGGTGTCGCTTAGTTCCTCCGCGCCCTCGAGCTCGTCTGTGCTGGACGACGACAGCTTGCCACTGCGTCGCAACTCGCGCGAAAAGATGTTGCTCAGGAAGAAGAAGCAGCGAGTCGCGGACATTACCAACAGGTTCAATGACTTTGGCATTCACGATGACGTCGCGGCGAGGACGAACTTGCATTTCCCGACGCCGCTGCTGGCAAAACCGCAGCCGATGGTCATGATGGAGACACCCGAAACGCCGGAGCCCCGCATTTTGCGTGGCCTTTGCTTCCCGCGTGAGGCGCGGTGTATTGACCCTCTCGATAAGCGACAGGCTCAGCCGTTCGACATGTCAGCCTTCATCATGCTGTCCATCTCGCCAGAGCGATGAAGGAAGTGTCCAGTCAAGTAACCGCAAGTAACCTGAGCACCGTGTTAGAGCGGTGGAGCACGAGCGACAAGGACCTCAGTGATCGATCAGATCGGACAAAAGATCATCTCCCTGCTTTGGACGGCACCCCCAAGAACAAGCAGTAAGGCTTGTCACCTCGTCGCCGGTGCCTTACGCCACCTCCCACCGTAGCCTATTGATTATTTCTCGAGCGACGCCGTAGTTCGCCAGTCTCTCTATACACTATTTATTGGAACCCGGTAACGCTCAAAACTAAAGAAGCTTTCCACGCCAAGATCACCGTTTTCTTTTAGCGCTCCTTCGATTTGGCTGATCGTCGGTTTGTGTTGGAGTGGTGCTGGCTGGATTCTTCAGCACGCAATACGCTTTGCCAAGCTAACACCTTATCTTAGCAGCGCAGGAAGTAACCAAGCCCACCATCTGCGAGACTCTTCACGGAGCACTGCGGCTACTTCAACCGTAAATCTATTCGGAGTCGCTTCGTGGCTTGGAGAAGGATGAGGCGTCCTCAGCGTCCGCTGCAGCGAAAGTCGGCCTTGGCGGCTTCAGCAGTTTCATCGCTAACAACGTCCGCATCCTATTGCTACGTTTCATCGCTAACAACCTCCGCATCCTATCGCTACATGCATCGCCTCTTTCTTCTCATTTTATTTTTATCTTGTGTTTGCCATCAAATTTCTAAAATTTTTATTGCTAAAACAAATTGCTTGAAGTTACAACCCACACGACAAAAAGATAGACCCGTTAAACGTCCCTCGACTTCAAGACTGAACGCTGACGCTAGAATCTTTTGAGTCTTAGCGATCGCACTTTCAGTTGTGACACAGCCGGCATTGGCAGCAGAAAAGCAAAGGGTTGTTTGCACTGATTCTTCTAATGCATCAACTTGAAGTTCTCATTCCTCGACAAATATCTAGTATCATCGGCCAAACTTAAGGCAACCCCAAGGTTGCATCAACACCTTGTTTCAGTACCACTCCGTTCCAGCAATTTGTGACAGCAATTTGTCGATGTCTACCATTGGCACGCCACTGAGACAGCCCTGGAGCTCGATCGTCATTTGAGGCTGTCTCGGAGTTGCTCTCGATCGGTAGCATAGTTGCAGTACAACAACTAGAAGCAAAGACGAATTGCCAGAGTAGAAACGAAATGGAATAATGGTATGTAAGTAGCCTACATCAGCTTTATTTGCTGTGTTTAACGTTCTCCTACAGGTGAACCATTCACGGCACTGCTCGTTCAACCACTATAGACTACAGCAACTAGGCAATAACTTATGCCGCCCCTTTCCAACGCGCGACTACGGGCGCTGTTAAAGTGCGCAGCAACTTAACCTCTTCCCAAACACCGTCGCCACCCGAAGCAACTCATGCCGCTTAATTCACAGAACCCTTGCCGGGGAACAATCTCAAGATTGCATTGTGCACTACAAGCCCCGCTTTGCTCTGGCAGCAATAAATGATGCCCATCTGCGTCGATTTCACTCTTAGCTTATTAACACACTTGCTGAAGCACGGCCATGCCAGTGGGAACGGTTCGCTTCAACGTCGCTCTGTTCATCTCCAGCAAACTCATTGCAGCTGGCCACCTAACAGATACGCAATGTCCTCGAATCCGTTGCGAGCCGCCACCTGTGCTGCCGTGGAGCCCTCGTCGTCCTCCATGGCCAGCAGACTCTCATCACCAGCGCCGTCAGAACTGCGCTTCAGCAGAAGCCGAGCAGCCTCCATGCGACCTCGGCAGGCAGCAACGTGCAGTGCCGTCTCGCGCCGCTTGGTCAGCTGCGTGGTGACGCTCGCACCTGCGTTCAACAATGCCGTCAGCGAGTCCACATCTCCGCTGTAGGCTGCTCCGTGGATCGGCGCCCAGCCGCGGTAGTCTTCGGCCAGAATATCGGCGTGGTGCGCCAGCAGCTCGCGCACCGTCGCCTCGGAGCTCGCCAGAACTGCAAGGTGCAGTGGCCGCCGCTTGAACATGCGCTTCTCCACGGCATCAACATCCGCACCGTGTTGTAGTAGTAGACGCGTTGCCGCTGCCTCTCCGCGGTCACAAGCCCAGTGGAGTGGCGTTAGTCCGTACTTGTCCAGTGCCACGGCCTGAGTGGCATCGACCAGCAAAATTTCGCGCAAATCTTCAACTCGGCCAGCGCGGGCCGCAGCGTGGACAGGTGTGGTGTCCAGCTCCTCGTGCAGCTCATCCACGCCAACCTGGTGGGGCTCGTCCCCATGTTGCTGCTGCTCGTGGCTCGTCATAATTGAGACTTGGTGTCGACGACTACTATTCTCAAGTGACTTGGACGTTACCGGTCGCTGGGTTTGACACGACGTTCTCCTAGTTTTGTTTGATGTGGCCGCTGTGAATTCTGATAATGAATGGGCACACAAGCTCAGGATTAGGACTTGAGTGATAAAGTTCTGTGAGTCGCCTGCTTATCGTGGTAGCACTGCAATATTCGATACGGGGCATCAAGCGGGGCGGCCTCATTGCTCGTACATTATCAGGAGCGTAGTTGAAGCGGGCAGCACTTCAGGTCGCTGGTGCGGTCGACACGGAGCAGTGATTGAAGTCAGGACGAGGCTGATAATACCTGTATATGTATTGCAGGCTGCCTGCAACCCGATTGCACGAGACTCCGTGACGGAGTGCTGGTGATCTGTTTGCAATTCAAACTTTGCATATTAGGGGGCTTGCGTTGCGTCAAGTGACAGCCTGTCACTGGAGATCTTCTGAGCGGAGATACTCTTTGATATGTTCCAGTTAGCTGAAGGTTTAACTGGAGTCTTTCAGGGACTAAGTTACAAGTAGTCTTTTGCCAAAGACTTTGGTCCATGGTTTCGGCAAGGTGAATTTTACGTTCGAAGGTCGCCAATTTAGTCAGAATAGTCCTGAAAATGGTCCTCCTATTGGGCGACCGATTTGTCGTCATCGAAATTGATACTGGGAGATAGAAATGTCGTGCCTGACAGTGAATTCGCTCTAGCGACGAAAACAATTGTCTATGCCAAACGCAACGATTCATTCCAGCACTTGCTTTAACTGGAGCTGCACTAATACTCACCAAGGTCTTCTTCAAGCACCGGGTGACATCTTGCATCGCGATAATGTGTAGTTTTCATCCCAGCGACCACTGACATTGGCCTCCCGGTGGCTGTCTGCGGCTTGAAGTTGTCGACGTGGTCGAAGATGCCGTGGAGAGTCCAGCACGAGACAAAGGGGCACCAGCCGGGGGATAGCGCGCTCCCCGCGTTTGGATTGGTGTTGGGTTTGGCTGGTGGTTCGTGTAGCTGGTGGTACTTCGAGTACTGTTGGCCGTCCCTAGCCTTTGATAGTCGACACATGGCGTTGGTGGAAATTGCTGTTGTTGCTGCTGCTGTTGTTGCTGCTGGTGCATGAACCTCGAGAGCGGGGACGGAGGGTTAATGCTGTCATCAAGCATCACCCCAGCAGGATTACTATTCCAAGTTGAAGAGGGCGTGGATGTTCGCTCGCCATAGTTGTTGTTATTGCTGCTGTTTTTGCGCGCTAGCCACTGTCGTCGTTTTTTCTCCCAGTTTTGGTCCCGTTTCGAGGACGTGAGAGGAGGTTGAGAACCCCAGGATCTCGAGCTGGAACTGGACCGAGTACTCGAACGAGAACTGGGCGTGGAGGACGGAGGACGGCCGCCGTGGAACCCGTTGTTGTTACTGTAGTTCTGGTTAGAGAAACTGTTGTTGTTTTGGGTGGTGGGGTTGTAAGGCGCTGGATACGTGTACGGCTGTTGCTGGTATGGTTGCTGTTGGTACGGTTGCTGTCCGTACGGTTGCTGTGGTGGAGCGTAGTTGTTGTATGGGATCGGTTCAGGTTGGGACACCGAGTAACCCGAGCAACCATCGTTGTTGTTATTGCTGAAGCTGGTAGCCGGAGGTGCGTACCGATCACTGCTCCTTGGGCGTGAATACGCAGGCTCTTCCTTGTTAGGGGCTTGCTCGGCTGGTTCAGCTGTCCCAAGACCTCCGCAACCTACAAAATGTGGAAGATTTGAGTTAGTTTAAGTTTTTTTATCAAGAAATAACCCCACTTTGTTGAGTCCCAACCGAAGGAGAGACTGGAGGCACCACCAGGCGGCGCATGAAGGCGTGTGGAGCTTCGTTTCACGTGTAGCTGCGCGGACGTGAGCGTCGACATGATGCAGTCGCGGTAGCACTAACTTGGCACTGGGTGGGGGCGAGTAAAGAGATCTGCGGCTCAATCCAGGACTGCACCCTACTCGTATTTATATCTTAAACCAACGGCAAAAAATAGTTGGGAGAAACGAGACTCATCGATCTCCAGCAGCCTCGCTCTTTCATTGTGACTCAAGTGCATGTTGAGGAGATTCCTGTCTGTGTCATGGGAAGCCTATTTGACATCGCGGCGGGGTTAAGCCAATATGAAGAGGGTGCCAAGGACAACAACTCGAAACAGAAAATACATCCGCAGTCCGCGCTGGGGATCCTGGACGAAACATTCGAGACCATCTACAGCTCACGACAATATCGATCGACTACTCGAAATGTGCCTTTGCTTCGATCAACGAGTATGGTTCAGCTCCAGCCAACTCGACTAAGCGAGTCTAAGAGTTCTGATGCACTGGACACACGTCTTCGCCGATTCGCAAGCTTCAAGTCGCCAACACCAGCAACAGAGAGACGTGTGAGCCCTGCAATCGCCGTAGCAGGTTTGATCATCCCACCGCCACCAGCAGTGCCCCCACCTTTCAACAACGTTACCAAGCAGAACAAACGTCAGGATCCCGATGTCACGGCAAAAGCTGTGTTACGTGAAGTTACGAGCGAAATTGATCAGTTAATGGTGACCAGCACAACGTCGACGGAAGAAGAGGAATCTCAGCTTCGTATGCTCTCGGAAAAATACGCCGACTCACGATTGGTAAGCAGAAAAATGAAGATGTGTTGCGTAAACTCATTGACTGACACAACCTGGTACTAAATGATACAGAGTAAACTACCTGGAACACCATTTGTACTGCTAGTCCGCAAGAAAGTTGCACAAAAACTCCAACAACTCGAGCATCATCTTCACTCTCGCCGGGAATCGAACAAGATGGAGAATGAGAACAACAACTCACCACCTCCCATTAACAGCATACCCAGTGTGAAGTCCCTACAAAAACTGACACCAGCGCAGCAGGAAATGTTACAGAATCTGCTGCGGTTACCCGAAAAGCAGCTACTCAAGTTGCCAAAAGCCCAGCTCGAGCTCGTTCAGTTTGCCAAGCGATTCGACAAACTCGTCAAAGCTACACCCGATCAACTGCAACATTTACCGATTGAACACCAACAACTTGTGCAATTTTTGCAGAGACAACAGAAACAACTCCGTACTGATGAATGCCGTTAGAATTTTAAACCAGTGTAGCTATACTTAAGCAATCTTGTGAAAAAGTATGCAGCTGTCTTTTCCTTTTTGTCTTTCAGTTGTCTTGGGCGGTTGGGTGCGAATGGAAATAACTTTTGTCAATGAGATCCAACTTGTGCTTCTTGGCGAATCCAGCTACGTCAAAGTTGGAGCGTTTGGATGTGAGCTCTGCATCGGGTGCAATGGAATCACTTTCCTGTTGGCGGAACAAAAGCGACACGTAACGGTGTTCTCCAACAGGAGGGGTCACCGGGTAGTAAGGAACCACCACGACCTCGTTCTTTTGAGCGCTTTGTCCATTCACTGCCAAGTCCGCTAGAATGTAGTGCAGGAATGGCGCGTGTGTCGGAGCCTTTGGATCCGGGGCATCAATGTCGATGAGCATGTATGTGTAGCGCTCGGTGCTGTCGGTTGCGCTCCCTTCAATGGAGACACTCGGAGCTGCTTTAGCCTAACAGGACAAATATAAACGTGAGCCTTATGACAATTACATGGAATTCAAAGGATCTGATACCTCGTCCATTGGCACATATTGTCCTTGAGTGACGGGGTGGTCCTGACTGAAGGCGATAGAAACCCGCATAGTACTGCTTCCCTCTGCATTGACACTCAACGGTAGGTTTTGCAAGACTCGCGCTTGGACCAACGCAGTGTCTGCTGCGAGACGAAGTGCCGGGAATGATGCGCCGTCGTTCTGCAGCTGATTCGATGCGATTTCGTCCACCCCCACGGACTGCATGACCGCCACCATGAAGACCACACTCACGATGAACGCAGTGGCGACGAGAAAGCCTGCCCCACGCAGGGAAAACGACGCCGGCGTCAGCGGCTGCGGCGGTAGCTTGGATCCATACGATGGCATCACTGATACTTCGAAAAAAAAGAAAATGGTGGGCGGAGGTTGGTATATAATTAGACTTCGGTTTTGTAAGGACGTAACGTTTTGTCGCACTAGTATCTTCAACGTCCGATTTTTTTGTCGGATTTTATTATTGTCGATAAGATACTTTTTCATGGAGGCAACATTTTGTACTCTTCGAAAATTTAGGTATTTTATTAAAGCTAAGTTATTAATACAAGTTTTTTTTTTTTAACTACACACCGGCCTTACGCCGACTGGCTCGGGCGTCGATGACTTCGAGCCACCGCTGAGTGGCCATCGTCCTGGGGGTGCCTTTCTCGGAGCGGCGCTGCCGTTTCTCGACGAATGCTTTGGCTGCGAGGCGGCTCTCAGGCGACATGATCTCATCCCACACCCGGGTCCGACCAATAGTCTTAGCAGGCGGTTCGATGATTTCCATGTCTAGCTGGGGTGGAGAGTGTCGCTCTAGTTGCTCAAAGTTCTTTGTGACGGCTGGGGGTGTGACTTCCTTCGACTGCAGTTTCCGCGGGGGAATTACGCGGTTTCCAGAGTTGGTACTTTTTGTCTGAATGGATTGTTTGGTATTCATTGGGGGCCGCCGAACGGCTTTGTCGGGCGTTTGATAGCCGACGCGATCATGGTGTCGTGTCGGAGAAGGGTCTCTCACTTCATAGGTGGGATGGGAATCTTGGTCACGAGACTTCCAGGTGTAGTGCTGACGTTGATCGTAGTCCTGATGTTGCGTCTGATGAGTCGAATTGCTGGATGCTGCGATCCTGGGAGAACTCTTAATGTCACGGCGATGATGACTGTAGTCATCTTGATCGATATAGACATACTTTTGCTGCCGGTGTGCTCGCAAAGACGGGGAATGTACTGGGCTAGACGCAGCACGATAGAGACTTCTGGTCGTGGAACTGATGTTGCTCGTCGGAGACCCATGGTCGGAGCGATGCCAGGGTAATTCAGAAGCACGATTTTGAATTGGCTGTCTACTGATATGCCGAGGCAGATACTCATGGCGCGGTGGCAACTCACGGATACGGTGGTGACTAATCTGTCGTCGGCGTTGGTCTCTCTGGTGATGCTGTTGCTGGTCGTATGCATTCGTGTCACGATACTGTTCGCGAGGGTAGCGAGAAAAGCGCTGTCGGTCACCCTGGCTGGATGCATATGAATTCGAGGGTGGGTATTGCCGATCGTCATGATGCGATTGAACTAGGTAGGCCGACGGATCGATGTGCGTCTGAAGTCGAACAGGATAATTTCCTTGCGGTGCGCTACTGCGCCGAGAGGTAGATCCACGAGTTCCCGTATTTCTTAAGCTGTTGTCTTCATCGTCACGACTAGTGATATCGTACTCAATAACATCCACAGGCTGGTGATGCACGCGATCTGAGTCACGCTCGTAGTTATCATCCACGTCATAGTCGGTTCGTCTACAAACCATCTTTGCTCGCAGCCGCTCCTGGATCAGAGCCTTCAACGGAGTTGACATGCTGACAAAATCTTTCACGAGTAGTATTTGGATCTGGAACACAATAGCGAGCTCGATTGGGAAGAACGTAGAATGAAGTTTCCAACCAACTCTGGTGGTTCTCCTGCTATTGCTAACGCTATAAATGCCGCTGACAAGTCTTCAGTTTTGGAAGACTTCTCCTGTGGGCGAGTCAGCGAAAATCGACAAAACACGTTTCCTGCGCCATAAAAAACTTCAGCGACGGCTATTTGTGACTGGATTTCGGTTCATCTGGCGTTAGCGTTTCATGTTGTTCTTAGTTGTCGAACGGCGCTGAATACTGAAGAGAGACACCACTGCTAAAAGCAGCAGCGCATTTCAAGATAGGGCTGTTAATAGGAATCAACAAGATAAACTTAGCGATTATTATTGCCGGCATAAGGAGCTCTGAACAATGCGCACTACTGCTAAGTTTTTCGTGTATTCTTGAAACGCTCTAGGGTTGTTTCTAATAGTGTATTCTGATTGGCCCGTCAGCTTCAATAATACTAATGGTCAGTAAAGCGAGATCACCATCCCCGTCAAAGTGACGTATCAACGTGGCATTTCCAAAAGGAGCAATGGCGGACGAGCTGCTGTCCGAGTCCGATGGCGCGTTCTACGCGTTCACGGGCGTGATGCTGGCTCTGTACGTAGTGCCTGCCACTCTCTTCACGATCTACCGCGTCGTTCGCACCCCCAAGAAGCTGCGTTCTCGCGGATTCGCACTGCATTTGGCGCTATTGGCCGTGGCCTGTGGTCTGCTTTGGCGCTGTCTCTCTGCTCTACAGAGCGTGGACACATCGGGTGTGTTCGACCCGTACGAGATCCTAGGCGTGAGCGACTCGGCTTCTTCCCGTCAGATCAAGAAAGCTTTCCGCGCTTTAGGGCGACAGCTGCACCCTGACAAGAATCTTCACAACCCGCGGGCTGCAGCCCAATTCGCACGCGTCACCAAGGCGTACGAGGCGCTCACGGACCCGCAAAGCATGGAAAATTACCGCAAATACGGTCACCCAGATGGCCGTCAGTCGATGCTCATGGACGTGGCCTTCGCCTCCATGTTCAGCGGCACCAGCGGCAGCACCGGGTCCGTGTTCGTGTTAATGTACTTCGGCGTCATCTTCGCAGGTCTCGCGTACCTCGTCTACTGGCTACAGAAAGGATCTGGCCGCAGTGATCGTACGCAGATTTCTCGTGCTACTCATGCAAGCTTCATTGAAGCTTTGACGGAGAAAATGAGTGTCCACGACGTGGTGGAGCTGCTCTTGTCCTGTGACGAGATGGCTGGACCCGCAGCTGGAATCTTAAATGACGCACAAAATGAGGCCCAACTCCGCGCTAAGACGCACGATAAGCTTGCGAAGAAGATGGAGGCAGCCAAGGCTCTGCCTGGCGAGGTCATTAGCCGCATCCGCAAGCACCCGAACCCCGTCGCTCGCGAGAATATGCTGGCGCTGTACCAGTATCTACGCCGAGACAAGCTTAGAGGTGTGTCCCGTCCATCGTGGGTGGACCAGAGATTCCAGAAGGTGCTTCTGGAGCTGCCGTTCCTGGTGGATATCTTCGCGACGATGGCTGCTGAGCAGCTGGTGAAACGCGCGTACCCTGCCATGCCGCTGTTGCGTGCGCTGTCGCTGTTGTCTAGCATTGCACAGGGAAGCTTTGTACCCGATGAGGCGGCACTGCGCGACCAGAACGAGCGTATTGCTGCGGTGGAAGGTCGACTACCGAAGCTGCACTTGGAAGGCACGACGCTGGCTGTTCTGGACGAGCCCAACATTCAACCTGGAGACTGGCTCACTCTGCAGACAACTCTGCAACGCCAACATCTGGAAGCAGGCGAGAAGGCTTCTCTGGCTGCTACAGTGTACGATCAAGTTGATCCGAAGAGCCCGTTCCGCAAGGAGCACGTGTGGTTCCTCGTCATGGACAAGGGAACTGGCCGACTGTATAAGGCTTGGAAGGTAAGCGCCCTGTCAGTTTTTAATTATTGCAATGCGTTTTACTTACATCGCTCTGCTACGATGTACATAGTGCCTGGATCTATCCCAACTAGTCGAACAGAAGGCAGGATTCTTAGGCCCCGAGGCTCCTGGTACGTCGAGGTGCGCAATTAACAGCATTATTTTTGATTCTGACCTCTTGTTGTGTCTGCAGGCAAGTACGAGTTCGAGGTTCGCGTAGTGTGCGCATCTTATCTGGACGTGCAGACTAAGATCACCCTGCCTATTGTCGTGGAGAACCGCTAGAGTTTTGGCTTATGATGATCCGACGGTTTGAGAAACAAGTAAGGAGCAAGGTCGACATGCGTTCAAGTAACATGTATTGTCGATAAAGAAACCCAATCGTTTGACGTCGACAGCTACAGTATCGACTTCCTAGAACGGCCTCTCTAACCATAAAGCACGTCGATCTACCACTTGGCACGTAGCTCGTTGGGGAACGCCGTCACGAAGTCCAGCCACTTCTCCACGTTCGGGTACTTCTTGAGGATGTCCTTGCCCACAACCTTGACACGTTCGAACACGGCTGTGTCGTCCTTCGACGGGGACGAGCCATTCACGAACGTGGATCCAGCCAGACGCTTCTCCAGCACGTCCAGAGCCACCGAGCCCGTGGAGGAGATAAGCGAAGCCGAACCGCTAGCCGACGGGGCCGGAGCAGCCTGCTCGTCCGGCTTCATGGCAGGGAAGAGCAGCACTTCCTTGATGTTGAAACGGTTGGACAGGAACATGGTGAGACGGTCGACGCCGCAGCCCCAGCCGGCAGTGGGCGGCAGGCCATACTCCATAGCCGTACAGAAGGACTCGTCATGCGGCTGGGCCTCGTCGTCACCGGCCGCGGCCTGTTCCATCTGCTCGATGAATCGCTCACGTTGCACCTTGGGGTTGTTGAGCTCTGTGTAGGCATTACAGATCTCGGCCCCCGCCAGGAACAGCTCGAAACGTTCGGTAAGTGCAGCTTTCTCACGGTGATATTTCGCCAGCGGCGAGTTGTACACAGGCTGGTCCATGATGAAGAACGGCTTGGTCCAGTAAGCCTTGTTGTCCTCGATGAAGTGACCCACCAGCTTGTCAAGCAGACGCGCAATCGAGCGAGGCGGAGCGCACTCCAGCTCGTACTTGGTCACCAGTTCTTCCAAGATAACCAGACACTTCTCGGGCTCATCAATGGGGATCTTAACACCCGTGGCCTCCTCCACAGCCGACACCATGCTCACACGCTTGAACGGAGGCGTAAAGTCGATCGTCACGGGCTCCTCACCAGGCTCCTTCTGGATCGTGATGGTGTATCCACCCGTGATCTCCTTGACCATCTCAGAGAAGAGCTTCTCCGTCAACGTCATGAGGTCGTTGTAGTCAGCGTAAGCCATATAGAACTCACAGCTAGTAAACTCGGGGTTGTGGGTCAGATCGATGCCTTCATTACGGAACTGACGTCCGATCTCGTAGACGCGGTCGAGTCCACCGATAACCAGCTGCTTGAGGTAAAGTTCGGGGGCCACACGCATGAACAGGTTCATGTGCAGGTCGTTATGGTACGTCACGAAAGGTTTGGCCGTCGCGCCGCCCACGATCATGTTCATCATGGGCGTCTCGACTTCTAGGAAGTTCTTGTCATCCAGGAAACGACGGATGAAGTTGATGATCTTAGCGCGAGTCTGGAACACGCCACGGCTGTCGTCGTTCATGATCAGATCCAGGTATCGCTGACGGTAGCGCGTGTCCTGCTGCAGCGTCAGACCAGCGTGGCTCTTGGGCAGCATGTGCATACACGGAGAGAGCAGCACCAGTTGCTGAGGGAAGATGGACAGCTCGCCCTTCTTGGACTTGCCTGGGTGGCCCTTGACGCCCACAATGTCACCACGACGAAGGATGCTGTGGATCTGGGCGAAGGCCTCGGCGCTCTCGTACGTTCCTACGTCCGACATGATCTGCAGCTTCTTGCCATCCGCACGCAAGTCGTAGAAGACGAGCTTGGAGCCCGATGCGCGCTTACTGTGCAGGCGTCCGGCCACAGACACGACCACATCCGAGAGGTGGCTACCGGCCTCGGCGTCGCCGAACTGCGCATGGAATTCGGGTAGCGACGTGGACACATGGAACTTGTGCGGGTACGGGTTGATTCCCTGTTTCTCCAGCTCTACAAGCGTCTTCTCGCGGTTGGCGAAGTACGCGGTGGGGTCTAGTTCCTCATCGTCGGTGGCAGCAGCCTTTTTAGGCTTGGATGCGGCCTCGGCAGCCTTCTTGGCGGCCTTTTCGGCCTTGGCCTTGGCTGCCTTCTCAGCCTTCAGACGGCGCTTTAGCTCGTTCTTGCTGATGGGGGCGGTGGCGTTGCCGGTGGGCGGGGCAGCATCAGATGGAGTACTCATTTTCCCTGTCTTTGAGTCGCTTCCGGGCTACCACGAGAATTGGATAATAACAGGCGATCCATTGGCTGAGACGACAATTGTCCTACCCATTTGAAATGGTTATTTGGTACATGTAGTCATTCAGAAATGGGTATTTTATTTGGTGTGCGGTCCACAACGTCAGTTGACCACCATGCTGGTTGCACGCTCTCTGCGTCGTAGTGCTGCCGTCTTCCACGTTCGCAATGTGCCTTCAAGCTCCGAGTCATATCGTGCTGCAGCTCCAGTGTCGTCCGCGCGGTTTTTCTCCTCTGAACGTCACAATACAAAGCTCCCGCGGGTGGTATCGGAGCAAACGCTGTTCGAGAACCCGTGGATCCGCCTCAAGCGCATCTTGTTTCTGGACGCCCACGGCTCCGAGCGGCATTGGACGGGGCTTGAGCGCACTACGACCTATCCGAAGACTTCATCTGAAGGTGTTACAGGCTCCACAGAGTCGGCAGAAGCTCAGGAACAGGACACACAGGAAATATGCGACGCAGTGGTGGTATTCCCGTTCCTGACCAAGCAAGGAGCTCCGACTCGCGTCGTGCTGATCCGCCAGTTCCGACCACCAGTGGGTCAGTGGGTCCTGGAGCTCCCGGCTGGGCTTATTGACGCAAAAGAAGTACCAGAAGTGGCTGCTATGCGAGAACTTAAAGAGGAGACTGGCTACGTCGGCTCGCGTGTGCTGCACATGGGCCCGCCAATGGTGAACGATCAAGGCGTAACAAATGGAAAATGCAGACTCTTGCTGGTGGAAATACGCGATGAAGAGCAGCAGTCTCCACTGAAGCAGCAGTTAGAACCAGACGAGATAATTCACGTTGTACACGCGCCGCTGGAAGGTCTTGTGGACTGGCTAGAGGCTCGCAAACTCCGTGAGAAGGATGCTATCGACGCCAGACTATACTCGTACGCGCTGGGCCTTCACGCATTACCCCGCGGACTCGGGAACAGTGCTAACTAGACTTTCGTAGATCAAGTTCAATAGATAGTTATTCTCCACACGTGTCGCTTTTCATCTCTAGTCGATTGCTCAACTGATGACACAGCCGTCGTTGGGTTTGCCTTTCTCCCCTTCACGATCGGTCTCGGCCTCAGCCTTTTCTTCCTCGTGCTTTTTGAGCCGGGCTTCACGTCGCATGAAATACCCGGACGTGCGATTGAGTTTAAAGTGTCGCTGGCGACGTCGGATGCGTTCTCGTTGGTGCTCGAGCTTCTCCTCCACCACGTCCATGCCGTAGTAGCGCGGGGGCATTCCGCTACGTCGAGCCGCTGGTCCGTAGTGGTGTGCGAGCCAAATCTCTTCGTTAATACCGTACAGTGGACGTGCTCGAAGGTCCGGTGCGCCTCCAGTAGCAGCGTACGGGTGCTGGCTCATCCCCGATGTGTCATACGTGCGGAAGCTCTCGGCAGGTCGAGATGCGTCGTATTCTCGTCGTTTCTGAGGGTCTGAGAGAACGGAATGAGCCTCGCTCACATGCTTAAAACGCTCCGCTTTGGACTCGTCATTGCCAGTCACATCCGGATGCAGGGACTTAGCTGCAATAGATGACAGAGAACTCGATCAGATGATGAAATTAGGTAAGAGCGAGGAGGGACGTACCGAGCTGGAAGTACGCGGCCTTGATCTCTTTAAACGAAGCGGTTCTGACGTACACACGCACAGGGGTGAGGCAGAGCGGGATGAAGGCAACAAAGGCCACGGGAGCCAATACCTGGCGACGTTGAGCACGCGATAGTAGTCTATTGATGCCATCTCAATTGGCGAATGTGAACTTTTGGGTTTTGAGTGACACGTTTTTTGGCAGTGTACGGTAGAGATGGGAACAGTTGATGGCAAAAATGAAGAGAGTAATACATGAATGGGGGTTCTTGTAATGCATCGTAGTCTATCTGGTCTATTCCCTAGCCGTCTACCAAGGCAAAATATCTGAGAGCGACTACATCTACTTGTTCTTGGCGGCCAGCGCCTTCTCGTACTCGGCCACCAGCTTCTCCTGCATGTCACGCATAACGACGCCGTGGGTCTTGTACTCCATCGTGAACTCGCCCTTGCCCTGCGTGGACGAACGCAGGTCCGTCGAGAAGCCAAACATGTTCTGCAGCGGCACGTCGCACTTGACGACCGTGTGCATGTCATCGGCGTCGCTGCTGTTAATGAGACCGCGACGACGGTTCACCTCGGCAATGGCCGTGCCCTGGAACTCGTTGGGCACCTCCACTTCCACAGCCATGACGGGCTCCAGGATGCACGGGTCGGCCTTCATGAACGCCTGGCGGATAGCCAGCACCATAGCGGTACGGAAAGCAAGTTCACTGGAATCCACCGAGTGCGACTGACCGTCATTCACCACCACGCGCATACGTTGCACTGGGTGGCCAATGAGCCAACCCTTTTGAATCGCATCGTTCACACCCTTCTCACAAGCGGTAATGTATTCGGGAGGGATAGCGTTACCGATGATAGCGTTCTCGAACACAACCCCCGAAGTGTTACCCGCATTGTCAAGCTCTTCCACCTCCTCCTCCGTGAGTGGCTCAATGTAGCCCACCACACGGGCATATTGGCCAGAGCCACCGCTCTGCTTCTTGTGCAGGTAGTTGAATTCACTACGCTGACGGATCGTCTCACGATAGTTGACCTGGGGTGCTCCCGTCTCCACATCCACGTTGTACTCGCGCTTCATACGCTCCACGTAGATCTGCAGGTGCAGCTCACCCATACCGCTAATGATCGTCTCCTTACTGTCATCATCCACACGCACGCGGAACGTCGGGTCCTCCTTCTGGAAGCGGTTAAGCGCCTTGGAGAAGTTGCTGATCTGCTGTTTGTTCTTGGGCGTCACGGCCAGCGACATCACCGGCTCAGGCACGTGCAGACTCGTCATAGTGAACTTGCCCTGGTTCGTGTCGCTGAACGTGTCCATACTGGCACATTCAACGCCGAACATGGCCACAACCTCACCGGCACCAACTTCCTCCACCTCTTCCATCTCGTTCGAGTGCATCTTTACCAGACGCGGCACCTTAATGCGCTTCATGTCGCTCATGTTGTAGATGAAGCCACCGCGCTTGAGTGTACCAGCGTAGACACGCATGTAAGTCAACTGGCCGAACTTTCCTTCCTCCAGCTTGAAGGCAAGCGCCAATAGAGGCGCGTCCGGAGAGCACGGGACGCCGACACGAGCCTCACCCTTCGACTGGTCCAGAGCGTAGTTCTTGACCTCCGACGGACTCGGAAGGTACGAAATGACACCGTCAAGCATGGGCTGCACGCCGCGGTTCTTAAAGGCCGATCCCATCATGACCGGCACGAACTTGTGCGCAATGGTGGCGCGACGAATGGCGTCTTTAAGTTGCTCGACAGTGGGCTCTTCCTCCATGAGGAACATCTCAGCAATGTCGTCATCAACATCGGCAAGCGCCTCAATGAGCTCCAGTCGCTTCTCCTCGGCCAGAGCGCGAGTCTCAACCGGAATGTCGTCAGACTCCTCGATCACCTCACCGCTCTCGCCCTTGTTGCGTAGAGCCTTCATGGTCAGTAGATCCACAACACCCTCCAGGTCGTTCTCAGCGCCAATCGGCACCTGCAGAGCCCAGGCGTTCAGCTTGAGCTGCGTGCGCAGGTCTCCGATAACCTTCCAAGGGTTGGCACCCATGCGGTCAAGCTTGTTGATAAAGGCAATACGAGGCACACCGTAACGCTTCATCTGCTTGTCCACAGTGAGCGACTGACTTTGCACGCCCGAGACACCGCAGAGCACCAGCACACCGCCGTCCAGCACACGCAGCGCACGCTCCACCTCAATAGTGAAGTCAACGTGACCGGGTGTGTCGATAATATTAATGTTGGAGTCCTTCCACGAGCAGTAGGTGGCGGCGGACTGGATAGTAATACCCTTCTCACGCTCCAGCTCCATGGAGTCCATCTTGGCACCGACGCCGTCCTTGCCACGCACGTCGTGGATGGCGTTAATACGGCCAGTGTAGAAGAGGATGCGCTCGGTAAGCGTCGTCTTGCCGGAATCAATGTGTGCGGAGATACCTATATTGCGCAGATTGCTCATGTAGCCCTCGGGCACGGGGAAACCCGGTGCGAAGGGTGGCACGTCCGAGTCCGATACAGCGGCGCTGAAGCTTCGCGACAGCAGAGACGACGTCGGACACAGACGCAGCGTGGCGGGGCTGCTGCGGCGCAGGCCAGCGGCAGCACGGGATAGCTGCAGCCAACGCATGTTAAGTAAGTAGACGTGAGGATGGACGCTTGAGCTAGAGACGGCGAGGAGCTCAATGCCCGTGATGGCCGCACGTTTTGAGTGGCGGAAACTTACCCGCCAAAAGCGATAGTATCAAATATTCTCAGAAATCGCATCAGATTTGGCAAAGGAGGACCCGTCGTTTTGTGCCCGTTCACGGCCACTTCAACTTCGGGCGACGAGCCACTGTTTGCATCTGCGACGACTACCATTGACGACCATGACGACCATGGATACTCCGATCGTTAAGACTGGCGGTGTGGACATTTGGACCGATCTCCTGATCGCCTGCCTCGTGGTGCTCGTGGTGCTGGCGCCTGCCTTCCTATTCCGGGTGCCTACATACCCCGATGCTGCTACTTCGGTAGCACCTGCCAAGAAATCTTCCATCTACTACCACAACGAAAATGATGCGCGAAGTAAGAGACGTCGACAAGTCAAAGTGCAGCAACAACCGAGTGGTCGAAGCTCTGATCTCACCAGTAAGCACATCCACAGCAACAGCAATGGAGCACCTGCAGCCCGCGCGAAGGTGACGTGAAGGTACGCAACAAGGATAAACCTACGATAATACATATTTAACAAACACTTAATATTGCAGAATATAAACTTTGAGGCCGAAAATTACCTAAAAAATGTAAGCACAGCATTTCGCATACATCAGCCATCAGCCGCCACGAAACAAAACGAAGCAGAAGAACTTGCAGCGCAATTATGGTGGTTGCCAAGACCGAGGACAAACGCGGCGCCTCCACCACCGAGGCAGCATTGGCCGGCGCCGTGTCTGGGGGTACATTACAAGCTGCGGTCATTTCTAACCGTCTGTCATATTTCTTATCGTGTTTTTATATGTATTGTCGTCTCCAGGAATGACGCGGTTGGTTGCTGCGCCACTGGACCTCCTCAAGATCCGCTTTCAGGTGCAACCTGCGCCTATTACCAGCGGCCTTATCGAAGCCAAATACGTTGGTTTGCTCCAGGCTGTGCGCAGTATCTACGCTGAAGAAGGACTACGCAGCTTCTGGCGAGGAAACCTTGCGGCCTCGGGGCTCTGGGTGGGCTACTCGGCGCTGCAGTTTGCCAGCTACCGCGAGTTGACCCGTTGCTGGGAACGGAGTGGAAACAACACCGATCTTAACGTCCCAGCGTCCGTAATCGCTGCTGTCAATGGTGCAGCTGCAGGTGTCACTGCGACAGTCGTGACATACCCGCTGGACCTCTTCCGAACGGCATTTGCAAGCCAGGGAATGCCCAAACGGTTCCCGACAATGCGCAGCTTGGTGCTTCACACGTGGACAACACAGGGAATCCGTGGCTTTTATAGTGGACTAGGCGCTACCGTCTTCCAGATCGCACCATACATGGGACTGAGCTTTAGTATCTATTCGGCGTTGAGTGATTTGTCGGAGAAGCATCGCAACAAGCAAGAGGATAGAGAAGCCAACGCGTGGATGCCAGTGACGACAGCGTTGTCGTATGTTGGAAGTGGTGCTGTGGCTGGATTAGTGTCCAAGCTGGCGGTGTATCCATTGGATACAGTCAAGAAGCGCATGCAGATGCGTCACGTGCCGCGTTGCGCAACGTACGGAGTCATCCCAATGTACTCGTCGAGTTGGTCGTGCTTCTTCGACGTACTGAGACGTGAAGGTGTTTGTGGGCTGTATAAAGGCACTGTGCCTAGTCTACTCAAGTCCGTTGTCGCAGCCAGCACAACGTTCGCGACGTATGAATTCACACTTGAGGTTCTGAGGCATGTATCCTTTCGCGAAGATCGTGACGAATGGAATGACTTGAAGAATTTTGATAAAGACTGAGTGGGGCACACAGTACGCTGCACTATTTACCCGAAAAGCCTGGAGGAACCAATGTAGATGGCCTCAAGATGCTGTGTGCCTCCTTGCTGCGAATCATAGAGAAACGAAATAAATTTTGTACGCTTGGTTGTTTCTTTTGTTTTAGAAAAAATGGAATGTATATTAATTTAGAAGGTTAAAGAAGGTTCTATTTTAAATATTTATTTAATGTTGACAGAGCTACGCTGTAGCAGGGCGAGGTGGTACGCGAATAGCTCGAGTTATTGGTGCAGCGGCCAACATGTCGTTCATGCTGTCGAGCCAGAGGTCAAAACCGTCTTTGTAGCGTTTGTCCATTGCCACAGCTTTTGCTCGCAGCTCTTCCACTTCATGGAGCGATCTGCTCAGCTGTCTCTGTAGTGTTTGTACTTGAGCTCGTAGCGCTGCTCCTTCAATCTCAAAATCCTTATTCTTGGCCTCCATCTCCTCTTGAAGCGCTTTGAGCCGAGCAATAGTGGCGCGCAACGTTTTCTCTTTCGAGTTCAATGCGGCTCTGTTGACTCGCAACGAGCTCTCCATCGACTGAAGTCAATCTTCAGCCTGCTTCAGCTTTTGCGTGTGGTAGTCTTCCAGTCGTTTCAGCTCTTTGTGCGTATCAGTCCGCTACCTCATCCAGCTCTTGCGCGTGTTGAATCTCAAGTCCTCGTTGTGGTCATATTCCAGGTCGGTGCTTTGTCTGTACAGTCCTTCTCGAGGGCCTCGCGTACTACTCTGTCCTCTTTAAGCCTCTTTGTCTCTTGTGAGCTGAGCTGGAGGCGCGCCACTTTCTCGTCTAATGTGCGAATGGTCTGCATCTTCTCGTCCGATGGAGCTTCAGCAACGTCAAGGTTGCCCTGCAACGAAGCATTCTTCTCCTGCAGCTGGACAATTCGAGAGTTTGCATGTTCCAGGTCTCTCTAGACTTGGTTTATCGCTGCAGTGAGGGTAGGAGAGCGGTGGTTGTCTTGCATGATTGACTTTCCTTCAGGGCAGCGACAGAGTGATGGTCACTTCGTTGAAGTTGCCTTGTCAATGAGGCAAAGAGAATCCAAACGTGAACATGAAGCAATTTGCGGGAAAAAAAATTGTCATTAAATAGAGCACGTAGCAAAATATCGCATCCGAACAGCAAAGCTAGGCAAAGGAATAGAATAAACCAGAGTGCGGTCAGGATATGGGCGACGAAGGAGATGAGGGGGCCACAGCGGGCGTGGTGCCTGATCCTTGGTGATTCTGATAGAAATCCTCTAGAAAATGTAATCGCTGGGCGTTGCCCACAAGTCGCTCCATGGACATCTGTGTTAACAAGTAGAAACAGTTAGCAATAGTACACATCAACATCTAAAAAGAGACAACTTACGGTCTTGACGTCGTCCAGTACGAATCGGCGAATGGCCTCTGTGTCGCTCAGGTTAAGTACCGCCGCCGCGCCTGATGGTGTTGGTGCAGCTGCCTTATTCCCGCGGAGACTACTACTATTACTTCGGCTGAGGCTGCTGCGATTACTATCCATAGAACTCTTCCGAGACAGCGCTTGTCGAGGCGAATCCGTCCTATTGGACGACCCACTCAATGAGTCTGAGCGCTTGCGATGGTGCTCAACCGTCTGGATGTTGCGGGCTACGAAATCTATGGGATGCGACCGCGTGCGGGAGTCTTGGACTATTGGATTGGCTGGTGTTCCTCCCACTACTTTGCGTTGGAAATTCCAGAGGTGATTGGGCCGACTCGACGTGGTAGCATTATCTCCAGTGATGCACGCATGTGACGAAGAAGTGCGCTGCATCTTGTGGCGACTGGCATGTCGAGGTCGTTCCGAGTCTGCATTAGACGTAGTGAGGTGAGTAGGTACTGGAAGCGACTGACTGAAATCAACGCGTTGTGGTTCGGAGGCTGAAACCTGCTGTAATTGCTGCTGTTGTTCAAATCGGCGTCGAGACTCGGCTGCAGTGGAGTCATCATTGTGTTGGAATGCGAGTTCCAGTTGGTTAACGCGATCTTGTAAAGCCTCTTTCCAATTCTCCTCCTCATCGTCGTCGTCTGCCCATTCTTCCATGGACTTGCGTTGCTGCAAACACCACCGTCAAAGACACTATAAGTCAATACAAGTCGCAATGACATTGTTAAAACACAATTCCTCACCGCAAACTGGAGTCCAGGCAGGTCATTGTTGTCTTTTGTAGTTGCGTCGCCATTCAGTGGCGGTTCATCGCTCCACATGGCCTCGTCGTCGTCGTCGTCGTCCATGGCCAGGACAGCAGCTCCAGCGCCCGAAGCGACAGATGCGTTGCAATCGCTCTGCTCCAACTTGAGTACGTCGTTATGCTGCTGCTTTTGGTCGCCGAAGATGGAGCGGAACGTGCGGTTGGCGCCGGCTTCTCCAGTCATGGCGATGTCTGCCATCCAGCGGGATCGACGTTCGGTGAAATGCGGGGAGAGCTTTGTCCCTCTCTCTTCTTCTTGGGCGGGAGACAATCAGCAGAGACGAGAGAAAACAAGGCGCCGGTTTAGAAGCGCTGCATGCCTGTCGGGCCCTGCGTCCGTCCGTCTGTCTGCTTGATGATCTGTGTGGTGCGTGGGCCGATGCAGCACAAGGCTCGCTTTTCTCGGAGGCTTCGGTGAAAATGGCCCGACGCAACGGCCCCCTGCCCAGAGTTTGCAAATGTACGTTTTGACCAATAGGCAGGGATTAATAGACTCAAAATGGACGAATCATCGAGCACCTTCAGCCCTATCGATATAGTATTTTAAAGGTTCTCTTCGGAGCCTCCTTCGGTATTATATCGTGCAGCGAAATATACTCTTTGAAGGTTGCAGTATTTCGTGTTGTTGCGCTTTTCGAGCTTCGTGGTGAGCGCTTGTGGTAATCGCAGCATCCTGCTCTATGCCTGCAAAGCTCTCGGCGCGAAGCCTGCAGGCCTGTCCTACCCCCAAGAATGCTAGCTGTTGCACACCTCATACATGTAGTCTAGCCCGACATCAAGTCGCTGTGTCCAAGTGGACTCGACGGAGCTGCCGCCCGCAACTGGGCAGAAATGGCTGGTTGCCATCGTTCTGGTGGTCACATGGACTAAGAAGCTTTTTTAGCAAGAGGTAAGCTTACCATTGCAGGCACCACTGTGAACAGGGTCTCAGTGACAGCATCACGCGCTCTTTTTTCAAATCTACGTGCTGCAGTCAGCACCTGAAGCAGTGTGGTTTAAAGCCGCGACACGCGGCTTTATTTTTCCGGCGTGATTTGCTGGCTTGAGCCGTTAATTAGCGTCATTATACACACGTATAGTCTTGCTTCGGATAATTACCAGTATACTTTACAAACATGCTGTATACTTTCAAACGTTTCACAGGCCACAAGCAATCTTGCGGAAGAAGCTAGTATGGCGTCGCGAAAATGCACGTGGTCACGGCGAGAGGCATCGGTTATACTCGACAATGCTGTCGCTGTTGTGCTAGGTCATCTTGGCCTACGCGGTCTGCTCGGGCATACTGAAACATCCGAGCTTTTGGGGTCCATGTATCGTTGAGATTGACGAGCAACGTGTAAGCCACGACGTCCTTGGCGGCGAGTCTTTCGTCGCAGCGGCTCCTTGCTGGCGGGCTCTGCTGCGTCAATCGTAAGGTGTGGTCGTCCGGATAACTGAGCCCGTTGTGCGATCCAAACACTTCCAACCGGATGGAACGGACGAATAAAGCCGCGGCTTTATTGGCTTAAGTCGAGTAAAGTCAATTTTGCCGATCGGCAAAATTGACCAATAAAACGATTAAAGTCGAATAAAGCCGCGGCTTTTATCCACACTGCCTGAAGGCACCAGTGTCCGTGCCTTGGCAATTGGTAATGGCTGTGGCTCGATGTGTTGCTCGCGTGATAGTAGTTATAGAGTAATGATGCTTAGTGTTCATACTGCCACGCGCGTTACACGTACGCTATCAGTCTCTCCTCTACTGCAGCCACTCCAAGCCGACGTGTGGCTACCACGATCTCCGCGGCTTCAGTGATGATAAAGAGTGCGCGTGAGCTTCACACTCGCACATCTCAATACTGCACTCGCTCCTGCGGATTAGTACGAGCTTCAAAACTTCAATGCTTCAAATGTTGGCGCGACGTCGTCGCTGCTGAGACTCAGTCGTTTCCATTTGCGTGGCGCACACCATCCCTGAAAAAGATCGAGCTGAGCCTGAGGAGACGCATAACCGCCCATCGCTACCATTCGCTTCGCACTCCTCCGCGCTTAGTAGCTGAAAGCTCCCAACGCACGCCGGAACGCAATAGAGAACATGTCCCGCCAGAGATACACGCCCGAAGACGTACTTGAGTTGGAAGCGCCGACGGAGTGTGAGTGGCTAGATATCTACCTCAAAATGCTGATAACATGAATGCTGATCGTATCGCGTTATCGTTTCCTACTTGTGCAGCCTTCCTGTGCCCGCTGAGCGCCAATAAGTATGGCATTGAGTTCTTACACTTCTCCATCTCGGACTTCGAGTCCAAGCGCAAGATTTTTGAAATCGGCAAGGACCGGCCAGGCAAGGCTGTGCCCAAGATGGATATCTCACACGCGCGCGGAGAGGGCGCTTATCGCACCATCCGCTACGAGTTTTCCGAAGACGTGCTGCGACTGCCGGCCATCGCCACGGAGCTTGAGTTCTCCGTTGGTCCACACGAAGTGCATAACCTGCGTATGATCGAGCGCCACTATTTCCGCGACGAGATCGTCAAGAGTTACGACTTTAACTTCGGTTTCTGCATCCCGTCCAGTGTGAACACGTGGGAGGCCATCTACGCCATGCCCCCACTGGACGATGAACTGATCAGCGATATGGTGGCACAGCCCTACGCAACGGTCTCCGACAGTTTCTACTTTGTAGGAGACGAACTCATCATGCACAACAAGGCCGAGTACAAGTACATCCCTGAGGACAGAGCACAGGCCAAGAAGTCTTACTATAACAGCGACGACGAGGACGACGCCAAGAGCGACACCAAAGGCGGAAGTAGTCGCGCCGACGAAAAAGGATCCGGTGCCAAGGGCTCTGGAGGTGCCAAGTGGTCCAAGGAGGACGATTACGACTAACTTATATCGCTGTAATCTCCTTCATTAGCACACTTCGCGCTACGATATTGCATGCAATAACCAACGTCTTATCGATGCCAATGGATAAAGTATACGATATGTCACTCTGAAGAAGCAACGGTAAGCTTACGCTCTCGCCGACTGTTGTGTCGCTCCAATGAAAATGTAGAAGTAGAGATGTATTGAGCTTCTTGGTAATATACCCTATTCACTCTCATTTCGTATGCATGCTCCGTAAGAGGTCATCAGTTTCACAACTGCCTCTGTAGTTGCAAGTTCTCGAGTGGTGGTATTGCTGGGCACAATCCCAGCAACGACAGCGCTCTGTAGCTACTGCTACAACACCGACGCCGCATAAAATCAGATCACTTCAACTTCCGTCAATAGACTGTGTAATATTGTGTAGCAACTGTAAAATGATTGTGGCAACAGTCAGGAACTGTTCCCGCCAAAACAATGGGCAGTTTTGCCTTTCATTTCACTCAGTACTTAGCCACTATGAAGCGAGGGGCTGAGGCGATGGACGGAGGCGACTCAACAGCGCGGGAAAGCCGCAAGGGCAGTCAAGGCTGGAAGCTGTCACATCACAAGCGTATGCGGCATGGCGATCGAGATCACTCTCGCAATGGCAATAGCAACAAGGACAGGGGAAACAGTGACAATTCTGATGTGAAGGGCCCCATGGTGAAGACTTTGGCGGACGAAAAGGAGACAGACCCGCATCGATTGGCGCAGCGCCAGAAGCAAATCGACTACGGTAAAAATACGATCGGCTACGACCGCTACTGCGCCCAAGTGCCGAGACACCAGCGACGGCCGGGCAAACACCCGATGACCCCCGACAAGACCAAGTGCATCGGCAAGAAGGTTTTCGATGGGATGGTGCGCAAGTGGCGCCAGGCACTGCACAAGTACGACCCACCTGAGCTGGTAGAGGCTATCGCGACAGTTAAGACTGGAAGTGCTGAAGTAACAGCGTTATCTTCCGGTATTGACGCAACGAATAAGAAGATAGAGGAAGGAGCGGTGACGACCACTAGTTCGGTTTGTAATGCAACATCAGCAGAGCTGGAAATGAAAGAGGTGGCGGTGACTCCTCCCAGTCGCTCCATCTATGAGAATTTCGATGAGGACAATTTTGACGAAGACACCGAATCGGACGACGACCTGCTGTAGATCAATAGCGATGGTTGCTGCCGTCCGGATAACTAAAGTCGAGTGCAAGCAGTCTGTTCATAGTAAGATGATTCAATTGCTAAGTTTGCGTTATCCGCGAGTCGCCAGAAACTGCCGTCGCAATGCCAGCGTCTCGAGAAACAGGTCGATTTCTAAACTATCAACGTTGCGGGCCACTCGAGCAACCAGTCGAACCTCCGTCTGTCCACCCTGCCCAAAATCCACACAATAATATCAGCACAATAGTTTCAGCTACGTTAAGACACTTTGATACCTGATTGCTTGTGTAGGTCTCCCCCAGGAACTGGTACATGGAGCCGATTTGCAAGCGTAAGTTCTCAAGCGCCAGTCGTTGCGTCTCCACCGTCATTGAGACGTCCTGGAACGAGATCCACGCCACTTTACGCTGTGCGTCGTAGGTATCCAATCTCCCTGTGATCCGCACCGAGCGGTTCTGCAGTTGTGGGTCTGCCAGCACCTCGGCGATCTGACATATTTCGCAGCATCCGGGTGGCGCCACCATTTTGCAGTTATGTGTTGAAAAGTGCATTTTTTTATTTTAATTCAAGCGACCTTCAAACGACATTGGATATTGCTCAGTGTCGCCTGAAGACCAATTGGTGCACTCCACCCAATAATCAATTAGAGCAGGAAGTGACGCAGACTATGACGGCCACCACCACGACCAAGCCAAGCAATGCGAAGGCCGAGGCGCCGCGCGGTCGTCCCGTGAGTGGGCGTGTGTGGAAGAAGGTGCAAAAGACGCGCTTCTCGTCGCAGGGAATGAAGGGCACTAAGGTGTTGAGCACAACGTGGGAGGAGAAAATGGTCAAGCGCGCTAAGCTCAAGGAGCTGAAGGAATTGCAGACGGAGATCAAGGCGCGGCGACAAGCCGAGAAGGATGCCAAGCGGCAGGCACGTGAGGAGAAGGAGAAGCGCCGGAAGGAGAACGAGCTCAAGTCGGCAGCCGTCCAAGTCATTTCACGCACGCACAGACTCAAAACTATGAGCAAGAAACAGCTGCGTAATATCAAGAAGACGATCGTCAACAAGCAGGGCGTGGTCGAGTATGTGCCTGTTTACTCCAAGTAGGGCGACTACAGTTAGGACACAAGTTGCTCGCGTGCAGACAGACTTGTACTGTTGTTTTATTGGGAAAAAAAAATTCGTTTGACATGTTTATCCTGACTCCGACTGGCAGTGTGATCCAGGTACCCTGTACTCTTTGGCTGATCCTATAGCGAGAACAAATATGGTTGAACGATTGCCTTTGATGGTAGTAAGACGACGATAAAACACAGACGAAACAATAGCACAGACCAATACTTAAGTATTGGTTAGCCATAAGTTACTTCGACAGCCAGAGCTGGTAACTGCAGACCACATCACTAGCTACTGGGCATCGTTCATGAATTGTCGCTGCGCCTTCGTTTCGAGCCAGCCTCATCAGAAATCGCTTTCAACGCAATCCCCGCTTTCCGCTTTGAGCAGTATTACCTGTCCGCTTAAGCTGTTGCAGCGCGTCGACTCCCCTAAATTCTTAATCTTTGCTTTGCAGCCGTCTTCCTTAGCAAGCCGCCCCAACACGTGAGCTATTTGTGCTGCGGTTCCAGACTCCACAAGCTGCACAAGCAACGGAACTCCTCCCTCCTCCGTGATAGCTTCTCGATTTGCCTTCGTAGTAGCGAGTCGGCCAAGTACAATTGCTCCCAACTTTTTTTTCCGAGTCGTTGCCAGAGCGCAGTAGCGAAACCAGCGCAGATGTTGCCCCTTCAATTAGTCTCAAATTTTCCTTACTGTGAACTGTAAGATGCGGTCACAGCGTGTAGTCGACTGTCGTCCACTTCCGATCGGAGCAGTTCTGCCATAAGGTCCAGGGCCAGGGCTTCCGAAATATACATTTGCCATAACATTATTTACCACAATATTTAGTAAATTATGTATTTTGGGGATCTTGACTTGATCATGTGATAATTGAATTTTTGCAATTAGTATAATATCATCATTTATTAGGGTACATTTATATAGTAATTTTCAGTCATTCTCGGACCACCAACCGGCTCCTAAACTCTCCACTTTGTCAACTGCTTTCAATTTCCATTGATACAACACACCTTCCCTCAGCCGCTCTCTCAACGACCATGGTTCGCGCCAACCGACCCGCCAGTGCCTTCACCAACGCTCAAATCTCGGGCTTCTACTTTCGACGACGACATTATGGAGCTGTTGCCGTCGCCCGCATCAAACAAGAGGCTCCGAACCTTATTTAAGGAGCTCAAGGACGTAGAATCCGTCGCCAAGGCTCTTCAAGGTCGCGACACGAATCTCCTGGATGTTCGTCAGTGGTTCGACGAGCTGATTGCTCCCAAACCACAGTTCGCGACATATCTCGGTACGTTAAGGCTAAGTATTTCTTTATTGTAGAGCTAACGTATCGTATATTATGTGTAACCAGGACCTCAAGCTGAAATTGTTCACAGCCCTGACCTTGAGTCAGGGTGTGTCCGTGTTCTGAGGGGCCTACAGGGCCGCCTAACGCGTGCGGAGGAGGCTGTCCTCGGTCCGTTCGTAAGACTGGCGGAGCACACGGATGAGGACTTCGACGACGACGATCTTTCGTTCGTCGAACGTCTTCGCAAGCGCCGCCGTCTTGCGGCGCCCAGTGTCTCCTACGAGCAGCTAAAAACCATTCCACCAACATCCAACGTGGTGGAACGGTTTTTCAGCGTGGCTCGGGTGATGTTCGGCCAACAAAGGCACGGGTTGCTCCCTGCAACACTGGAGATGATCTTATTCCTTCGGGAGAACCGTAGCTACTGGGATTCCAGTACTGTCGATAGCATCAATTGATGCGGTACGGACCTTTAATGGAGTACTTAATGCAATACAGTACACTTCGTTAGTGACCTCCATTACTCCGTTATTTATTTGGTGTCTTCTTTCATCACCATAATTTATTTGCGGGCCATTGAGGAGTTGATGCGTAATGTATGTCGGTTGTTTTTGTCTACTAAATAAAAAATGCCATATTCGAAGGCCCTGTCCAGGGTTCCTGCGTTCCGAATAGCAGTTCTATTAGTCGGTTATTTGCGCCAAGATAGCCCAACATAAGTGCTGCCAGTCCTTTCTGAGTACGCGTTCCTAAGTGAAGAAGTTCCACTAGAACCGGTATAGCCCCTTCACTCGACCAAGGCTAGGAAAGTCGGATGAGTAACATCAGTTTAAGCGGTGAATGCTGTACATGTAAATGAACTGCCTGTGAATACTACGAATACCGCAAAAATGATACCGGTAGGCTCGTACCAGCGCGACATGGCCAGATATATGATATGGCTGAGCGCAGTTGTTGCACTTGGCCATACACACGTTTGTTCAAAAAGATGGTTGCTGCAATCTCATCTCTTTACTCGCTTCCTCATTTCAACCATGAATCGCAAGCGCAAGAGAGACGACTACCCGGGCGACTGGGACGTCGTCGAGGAGACTCAGGACCCCGACAAGTGGTTCTGTGACGGGGTCACACAGCACCTTGTGCAGAGGAAGTTTATTTCCTATAGAGTATACAAACTCTAAGTGAACGACCGTTCACGTGTCCCTGGTCTGAAGGGGACGAAGTACTCACTTGAGGGTACGATTAA